AAAGATATTAAAATAAAAAATATAATTTTAAAGGGAATAAACAATAACGTTTATGACTTCCAATCAGAATTTTAATATAATGTTAATTTCTTTTTACAAAAAAATTTCAAATATTACAAAAGCCATTTTTTAAATTTAATTATTTCGGAAATTTAATATGCTAAAATTTAGTTTGTGGAATATCGTTTTCAGCATCCAAAAATCTATAAGAAACACCTCACTTAATCCAAAATAATTTTTAGCTGTAATTAAACTAGTGTTATTTTTAATGGCAATCTCTTTAGCAATAATTCCCGATAATTGCTTCTCATAATTAATAGTTATTGTTACTTTCGAATGAACACTTTCGCTAAAATTGCGGGAGAACAAACTTTCCCAAACGTGTCATCGCACCGGAAATCTTTTCTTCTCTGGAACCATTTTTCGGCTCTTGGAATTATCGGATCGATCTAATCGGATAATCGCACAGCTTATCCTTAAAAACGACCGCATATCTAACCCTTTCTATGGCTTTCAAACGAATTCTCGCGGCGTTTGTTAACCGCTCTAAATTAAGTATAGAGAGAGGCTCTCGCGCGGTGCGGCTGATAGAGATCTTAATCCACGAGCTAACCTCAGAACCCGGCAACCTCGTATAGGATTGATTTCGTACTGTATGTGTACGTACTGTGTAAGCCGAAGACGATCGCACAAATGGGTCAGGTCACGCGCCACTGAAAAGAACCATCAATTAGACAGCCCTCTTTCGCGCAGACTGCCACCCGTCACTGCCCGCGTTTTGTCTACTGAGCGTTGATATATATGAGCTGTCCTTATTTTTGAGTCGATCCATATTAATGGTGCATACACGGGCCTAACAAAGAGAGGCATTTGTTGTCAACAGCAAGCCCGTATTTTCCCAAAAATTCCGTTCACCTTTGGCACCGAAAATACTCAGGAAATGAGCAATGTATTAAATAATGTGTATAATAATTAGCTGTTTGCATCGGGATTAACAATAATAATCAGAATTATAAAACAAACTTAAATGATATATCACACGTCGGCTTTAACCAACATTCTGTAGAGATTTTCCTCGTCTCTCTCGCGCAATTGTTCACGCACTGAGCGTTCTATTTCATTCATTATCTGTTTATCAGTGCAAGATTGATGTGCAAGATTCTGTCCGGAACACCGAGCTAAGGCTCACAGTCGCGCGTAACAACGGCATTTTCAGCAGGACGAGCGGAAATCTGAGCCGTTGCATCGCAACCAATCCCGTAATCCGGCTCGTTTAGAAAGTGGAAATGTTATCACGTTTTCTCCAACGCTTTTGTTAATACTGCATGTGCGGCACCGTGGGACTACGGTAAAATAATGTTGGCCGTCTCGCGCGCCCGCGCACGCTTCGATCTATAAATGTACACGGGTAGCCGCGAACAAGGGAGAAATATCACGGAATGGACTCGCATTTATTCTCCGACCCCCGGCTGGAACCAAGCGGTGCTTTCACGCGTCGTATCGCGCGCACTTAATCCTCCGACGTTCTGATCGAGCTGATATATCGCGATTGAGTGCGTACCTTGTTATCCTTTCCCACACATCTGACGTTCCCTGAATAAAATGAGATTTTATTCTGTTCCGTCGTGTCTCGGTTTATTTAGTCGCGATTTGACGTAATAATCGGAAATGTTGGGTACGATTGTTCAACGTCCGCAGAAATCGCCAGTTTAGGGATTCGAGAACTCAGGTGCAAAGATGTCGCTTTTGCAGAATCCGCTCGTGGCCGCGGTTCAAGATGACCGATCATATATCGAACGATAATTGCAAACAAGTGAAGCCAAGAGCTTCATTTCAGACATGTCAGACGGAATCCTTATTGATTAATTATGTAGTCCAATTGTAATTTGTGCTTTTCAAATTTTAACTGAAAGAGGCTCAACGTGGCAATTAATTAAAATTTACATTACGCAATTAACTCTAAATAAGTTTTTGTTGTTTAACTACACTATTACAGCAGAATTTGTCCGGCTATTCTTCCGAGAAAAGACTAAGGCTACCCCGAGTCTTGCGTACGCAAAATGTATAAGAAAATGAGCCAATTTATAAAGTTCTTCCTTTCTTTCCATAAAATAAAAGATTCTGATTGGTTGATTTTCTTATGCTTTATGCGTATGCAAGACGTCTATATTCGGGCCTTTAGTTGAAATATCGTTTATATGATGATAAACACTTTGCATTCGCGAGTATCGCGTATTTATAAAAGCTTATTTGGTATGAAACATTTACGTTATAAAATATTTGGCCACAGATACGTGGCGATGTGAAAAGGATTAGATATATGGGAATATTTATAAGAGAGAGAGAGAGAGAGAGAGAACCGAGAACATTTCCATAAATGTATTTTCTAATTAGCAAATATTGCGCGAGTCTATTTAATAGGCCTTTTAGCTAGAGAGAGAGAGAAAGAGAGAGAGAGAGAGAGAGAGAGAGAGAGAGAGAGAACCGAGAACATTTCCATAAATGTATTTTCTAAAATCTAATTAGCAAATATTGCGCGAGTCTATTTAATAGGCCTTTTAGTGCAGAAGATAAATCAAAGTCTGATTTAACGCCGGCATGAGCTAACGAGACGTTTAAATGCCAATCACGAGAATATTCGATTTAATATCGTGAAGGATATAATTGAGCGTAATGTGTGTGCTAAACGTTTGCGAACAGTTAACGGACGATAACGCTAATAATTTAGGACGGAAAGTATCATGGCATTGACTTCCTACGCGCTTCCAATCTCCACCGAATTATTTATTAACGGACGGCTATAGCCTGAGGCACGACCCAGCGATCACGTTCGTCATCAATAACTATTTTTGGACGCATCCCGAACACAGTGGAAATTTAAACCAATCAAGCTTTAAGGGCGTTCGATACAAAATTCCTGCACGGGGGAGTTTTTATCGAGCTTGCAGTATAGCGCGCATAGATGCAACGTCGCTAAAGCCTCGCGTATTTATGGAAGAGGATAACTCCATGGAAAATATTATTCGTTAATTGATGGTTATGTCCTCTTGAACCCTGTAAATATATAGAAAAAAAAATCGAGGGATATAGAGAATAAGTGTAACATGCGGCGTGCGTTAAGAGCTCTTTACCGGCACGATCGATATGACATATATACTGTAGATCTCTGACAAACAAGCTTTCAATATAGCAAGGCTATGCTACCTATATAGCTACGTTTGTCATTCATGAAACTGTTGTTGTCAAATCAACATGCATCTTCTGAAATGTGGGCACCGTCCTTATTTCACACACATTTCAGACGTCGTTGTGACATCAATGAATGAACGATGCTCTATCTATCAATAAGTTTCAATATGACAATTATGCGGCTAGAACGAATCTGCAAAGAAGCTCCCCAAGTAATACGCTTCCGCTTGATTCTTTCTGTTTGGATATCTAGCCAGTTTCATTATTGTATGCCAGTTTCATATGATAAAATAAGTAAATAAATTTCTTTGAATTGAAGAGAGAGAGAGAGAGAGACGATGCTTTTCGAGATTTCTGCATTAATATGAACATTAATATGAATATGTGCAAAAATTATAAACAGTGATACACACTCATTCGACACAGAGAAATTTCTTTTCTATAACAATGATATAGAATACAAACTGCACATTTCAATGGTAAATTAAAAATATTAGCATTCATTTTAGATTAATTTACTAAGCTTATGAAAATTATTATTTGTTTATCACATTAAAAGTTGCAAATTTATTAGCCGATTCGAGTTGACTGCGGAGTCTTTTGCCATTTGAATTTTACGGCGATTCAGTTACGAGAATGAAATTTTATTCGCAGTAGAATTTCCGAAGAGATTAAAGCCTTGAGCACGTACTTATACTACTACGTAAAGCCGCGGGGTTTTTTATTAAACGCTCACATAGTTTTACATTTAAAAACACTTTATCTGTCGAGCTGTCGGAAATTCTGTGACTGTCTCAGAGATACATCGTTGGAACGAGCTTCCGAAAGCCCGTCGGTTCAGCTTGCCTGCGGCATTACATAAAAGCGTCGCGACTATCAATTGTACAAACATGCAACAAATAAAACGTTATCGAACAGCATCACAATTATGCGACTGTATTTTCCAAGATATCGCGATTTTGCATACTAATAGATTGATTGCGTTTGAAATTTCATGCTGTAGCGTAATTACATCACAGACAACAATAGCTGTTATCTATGCTAATTAACGGTTGTAGTAGTAATGATCAAAAACCTCGTTAAGTCATAACAAAATTGTGTTATTAGAAAAAAAAATTTAGTCGGGTTGCGTTTCGCCATCGCTCCGCTGCGAGAGATTCTTAATTGGCTTCGATCAAGCATTTATTAATATTCGTTTTGAAATTTCGTGGGAATTCTCGTCGTTATCGCCGTTCCTACGCGTTCGCGTTGCAACCGCTTCAATTTGGTTTGATTTTTTAAATAATGGCTCCATTTATTTTAACGTCATTCATTTATTTTAGCAAGCAAGAACCTGATATCTCATAGCTCTGAATAAGTGTTTGAAAATAAAGCACTATTATTAAAAAAGAAACAAAAGAAATGCGTATGTGTATCTTCCCCGATGTAACGAATCCACATTTTTCGAAATACCGAAGCTCATGAAAAATACATGAATACTATCTTGCAAGTGTTATCAAAAGCGACGTCCATCATAACCGTTTAATTGAGCAGGTCAGACTTTTGTAGAATTATAGCGAAATTGCGACATCCGTTTTATCATCGGGCTTTCGACGCTGAACGTGATATCGACGCGGTGGAACGTGAGTATTCGATATGACGGCGAACGGAGCGATAAGCGCACGCGGGTGTGCACGCATGAGAGATGCAGAACGAGCGCGAGCGACATAATAGAATAAACATAGAACATGCATTAAAGAAACGAGTAATTGTCGTGCTAACAGAAAAGCATAAGCTGCAAGCGAGAGTGATAGAGTGTGGAGTTGGTATACCGGCGCGGGACTGACCGTCGTGGAGCGGATCGATCGTGTGGATCATAAGCTGCAGCAGGCCGTGTCGAAACTTTGCGTGGCTCTCCCGTGAATGAGAGGACGGACCCCCATGGGCCTGTTCGCAGCCTTGTCCGGAGCCCGTGCCACCGCCGCTGCCGCCGACGCCGCTGCTGCTGCCAACTCTGCTGCTGCATCCAGCCTCCCCGGGCGCCGGGATGCTTCCGCACGCACCCGACGTACCGCCCACGCTCGTTTCGCTATTGTTGATCGCGTTCGGATGCTGCTGGAACACACAACGCCATTTCAGCGTTCAGTGGAAGCTCTCACGATTGCCAACGCGCGTTTGTGTGCCGCTCGAGGCGTGTTACGAGATAACTACTATACTCTATAGGGCTGGTTCGAGGTAATTGTTTGACATGAATAGGAACAGAAATGTCTGTTTTTTTTTTTTTAGGGATATCCATGCAGGAGTTACCTTCGACCTTTTCCATAGGGAGGAAAATTCGTGCTATGTAACATTGTTTTATACGAGTTCCAATGCCTTCGATGGGAAGAGAATGTGAAAAACAAAGAAATTTTCGTGGAAAAATTCCGAATAATTTTTGCATTATTCCTTGCATTGTTTTTCGCATTTTTGATAGCTTTCGATTGTTGTATAATTCTTTTGTTACAATCCATTCTCGTATCGATTAATATACATGGTGGCACACAAAATGTCATACTACTTTTAATTATCTTATTAAAACTATAATATTTGTGGAGTATGTTTTTTCTGGTTTTTTTTTTACTGTTTGAGCAAGTTCTGTATTTCGTGGAAATTCTGTAAAGTGTGACATCACGTGTATCATCGAAATTGGGTCGTAAGTGAAGCCGCATACACCAGTATGTGAAATGCAGGACACGTGAAGTGTCACACCATTTGCTTTATGTATAGAATACATTTATTTTTAACAAAATCAGTATAGAAAGGAGTAAAATTAATGAATAAATCCCAGAAAATATCGCCAATGAATGATATTTAACGTAATCGTTGTTTGACTCATAACGCTTTTAAATTTGATTTCTTTTCTACACAAATCTTCAAATAACACACAGTACAACTGCGTAACGTGCACGGAAATATCTTTGAGTCTCTGCCATACTCTTTGTTTTCATGAAAACCAACAGAATATAACTTCCACTTTATGATCAACGTTTTAAGTTAACCGTTCATTGTCCGCCATTTTACAAACTAGTGCATCTTTATCTCTGTCTAATTAAAACTTGTGATACCTCACCTAATAGCCCTAATAACACACTTTATCTGGGATGCATCCTGAGGATGTCCTTAGGATGTTCAAAGGACGTACGGATGTCCTTTGGACGTCCTCAGGACGTCCCCTGGAGCTCTGTGTTGTTAGGGAGAATTTCTACAGAGTACAATATTTGTTCAAACGGTTAAAAAACTCGATATTTCAAAAGTACAATTTTAATGGGACAATTAAATGGGACATTTCGTGCTCCACTCTATAATTCGCGATGTATATATGATCAAAAGTAGTTATGTCTGCTTCTATAATAATTAGGCTCGTCAATGTTACGACTTCAAACTTCTTTGGAATATAAAGGATATTAAGTTTTGACTGTTTTTCAGCTAACATAAAAAAGTTCCAAAATGTATCGTCTATCACGAAAAAACATTGGAAACAAGAAAAAAATCGTTATATGTTAAAAATAATAAATTTATTGAGTAAGATCTCGGAAATTAAGCAATAAAAACTGTACTATTAGTACTTAAACACGTATAACTTCATAAGTGTATTCGCTATTTAAAAGCAGAATTCGAGACGATTATTTTATTCAAATTGTAAATGTTTAAACAATACAATCCTTATTACTTTCCCGATATTGCTTTCTTAATGTCTTACTTAACTTTTTATTAATAATAATGTATTTATTATCTTTAATTACGATTTCTCTCGTGTTCTTGATGTTTCCCCAAGATAAACGGACCACTTGATTCCGTTTAAGTAGTCCTTTAATATAATTTGTATATCTTGAAACTTCTTGTGTTAGCCGAAAAAACGGCCAAAATTTAATACCTTCCTTTACTCGTGTCTGAATTGAACACAGAAGATTGCTTGGGATTAAAACTCATGCTTAGGTAAACCATGGGCGGTATTGTGGTTAGAATGTAATTAACATTTTCGGTCCGCACGGTAACAAATGCTACCGCAATATTTAAGCATCAAGCGGTTGTGTACTTAGGCCAAGTAGTAACACATTGCGCTACCTCAATTTACTTATTCATGAGTAAAGTGGCTTGGTTATTTCGCAAAACACGTTGCAATTAGACTTTCCATTCATATCTAAATGTAGAATCGACGCGTTGAGTGTTATTTCTCCACTTTATAAACTGCTGAAAGATTAAAGAGCTAATTTCAGGTTACTCCCGATATTTAAATTGTACGCTTTATCGTAGGCGTCCGTTATTAGCAACATTATTTGTGGGTCACCTCTTTCGCAGAAGGAAAAATAGAAAGTTTCTTTTCTCGTCCCGGTGAACTCGCACGAGCACGTCACATTTCCACAGCTATTATTTCACGAACTGCATATCAAAATGGTATCTATAATGTATGTAGTGAAACGAATAAGATAATGACGAGGTTGGACCGTGTGTGCGATATTCGTCAGATTCATCAAAATGTCATACCATTTTTTCCAATTATTATCTTTCTCTCCCAGATATACGGCGTCAACTTTTCTGACGGAATTTCCAGCGAAACGACGATGACGACATAAATCCAAAGAAGAATGTTCGACGTGCAATAGTGAATATCGTGTCCCGTAATAACTTCCACGGCGCAGCGAAATAATGATATTACTCGGGACGACATTGTGCCAGTCGCGGTCGTCGCATGTCGCAACTTGTAAACGTTTTACGGAATAAGCTTGCTGCCACTGACAGTGCGATATGTTAACGATTGTAATATACGAAATGTGCGCTAATAGTTATGTGACGCGCAAACGTATAAGATTTGGCAAAAGATATTTTGGGGAACGTGTTCTTCTAATCAAATTTAAATCGATTTTGTCTACTGAGACGCGCTGCCTTTGATTGTCAAATAAAACGAAATTTTTCTAAGCAAGCATCTCGTGTTCATATTTGTATATGTAATATCAGATGGAGAAATACACGTGAGTCAATTATATACATTGAGAAAAAGAGAGTTTTCCTCTGTTGTAATTTCATTAAATAATGAACCTAATATAGCTTGTAGTATCTTATACGATGAAGATGTTACGTGAAAATCGCGTTAACCGATAACGATATTACGGACATGTCCTGTACCTAGAATATATTGTGTGATTTTGACACCGCTTCGCGAAATCTCATAATGCGTAATCGAATCGGGTGGCGTTGCTGTAATCTGAAACGTGATAATCCTGTTTGTCTTGACGTTAAATCTAAAATAGTCGAGTTTCGCTTGTGTAACGCGACAAAATGATAAGAACTGACAAGAATGTTGAGTTTCAAAAGAAGAAAAAAAAAACATTTTTCACGGATGAGGCATTTGCAATCGCCTTTCTTATTGTGTACGCTTTGTATTTTAAGTTACAATTGATACTGTTATCTGTGAGTGAGTCTCTGTCGTAGGACGTAGAATGCTTTTCTATAGTGCGCAATGCGTGTGGGCTTTGCCATCAATGGCGGATACCTGCCGATGATACCAATATAGATAGACGCGAGTCTAAAGCGGTAAAGCTGAGAGACCTCATAGAGTCGTCGAGCTGCAACAGTGGAGATACGGGTTTCTGCCGTTGTCACTCCGTTGTCGGGGTAATGAACTTTCTAATTATCAGAGGCGCTTGCGGTGCTCGATTTGAATTTCGAGACGGCGCGGCGCGGCGCGGCGTGGCGTGTAGCCGCAGAAATTATGGCGGAATTGTCGCGCGCCGTGGCTCTCCGACAACTTTTGGAGGATTAGCACTCAAATATTTAAAGAGGATTACAATTATGCGGCGTATATCTATTATTAAATCTGAGATTATTAAATTCTGTGTAACTCTGAGCCACCTTTCGAAATTGACAACGCTCTGCGAGTTCTAATGATAACGGTTTACAGGGAGAAATGATTATAGAGTAATTATGCAAATTAACAACTTGCACGCTGCGTATAAGATATCTATGAGGTTCTTTGTTTGTGAAATATACGCTCCATGCAAATATTAATTAATAGCACAGTTTGTAATTACTGTGATTATTATAAACTACTGTTGATACGTTCTATTTGTTAATACTTTCAGTCCATTTGATGTCGATACAAACCATAATTCGTCCAATAATTATCGCTGTTCTAAATGTCACTCACACGTTGCAACCTTGCAATAAAATTTTATTCTATAATATAAAACGTTTTCCACGCAATAATATTATTGATAAAAATATTAATTTTCTGGCATTAACATATTGTTATTAATAATAAATATCGGTTGTATTTATATGTATAAATATCATACATATAAATAGCACTTATTCGTATTTATATGTATATACACTGAGAAAAAAAAATTGCTGTTTCAAAAAATATTAGTTGATTCAACTAAATGTAGCAGTCACGGGTGAATTGTCAAGTAAATATTTGTTAATTCAACCAAATATTTATTAATTCAAACAAATAACATGTTTTAAATTACAAGAATTTGTTAAATATATAAATATTTGAACTAAATAATCATTACGAACTAAACGCATTTAGTCAAGTTAACTTTTTTCTCAGTGTATATAAATACAAATTCTTTAGATTTTGATTAGGTTCTCAAGATACTAGTAGTATCACACACACGCATATTATCAAATTTATAATCAATTTAATTGTAATATTATTTCAGTTTCAGTTTATATCTGATTGCGTTTCAAATCCGATAGTAAGCGGCGTGCAATTTATATAACTGAAAGATTATTTAGAATTTATATACATATATAAAAATATTATTTATTAATAGGAATAAAAATCTGGCCCTTTCCTTGCTTATTTGATTTATCCATATAGTGGTCTAGATTATCTTATTATTGTAAATAGCATATGTATAAGTATATTCGGTTGTGTAATGCTTATAGTTGCTGATCAGTAGAGTACATTGAATATTATAGTTTGTAACTCATTAACACATAACATTACTAGGTTGATTATCACTCGGCTAATTGCCAACTTTACTCATTAGCCGTTTGATTTTTATTCTTCACTTGAGATAAGATTATCTATAACGCTACCGCGCAACGTGAATTATCATCCTCGCGGG